CGCTACGGCACCAACCCAGCAGCACTCCAGCTGCTCTTGGGGACGCCTGGGACAGAGCAGCTGGGGTACTGCCAGATTGGTCCCGTAGCGCTGCTCCTGGAATCAGCTTCCTGGAATCAGCCGCTGATCTGTTTCAGCAGCGGCTGAATCGGGGACCCGTGGGGCAGAGCAGCTGGGGTCCTGCCGGGTTGGTCCCGCAGCGCCGAGGGGCGGCGCTACGAGACCAACTCTGCAGCACCCCAGCTGCTCTGCCCCAGGCGTCTGGATTCAGCCTGCTGGTGAAACTGACGCTGCTGGTTTTTTTATTTTCTCATGGTTTTATTTCCTTATTAATATTACTTATTATAAGAAGTTATAATAGGTTATAATAGTATTGTGTTAAAATAGTTTGCCTGTAACACAAGGAAGTTACAGACCACATCCTGTATGTTATGCTTAAGACAAAGTTAGCATACATTTATCTGGGACCTTTCACCCAAATAGCAAAGTTGGCCAACAGATATACGGAACCTTTCACCTAGAACAGTGATTATCCAACTTTTTGGCTGGTAGCCAACATGGCTCAATGCAAATCTTTCCGCGGACCACCAGCTGCTAATGGAAACTTGCCATTAATTAAATAATTATGCCCAAGCCCTTTTGCTATTGGTGAAGTTAGGGAGAATGGTTTAATTTAACCAGTAAGAAAGGAAATATTAATTGAAATTATTAAACAGAGTAAGCCCTTTAATTTTAATATGTTAGTGTATCAAACTACATTTTAAATGAAGTAAAATAATAATTCATGTCCAACAAAAAGGGTTTCAATATTGTCTATATTTATGGCAGAGGTGAGGGTTGGGCAGGGAGAGAAGAGTGCTGGGAATCGTGCTAGTAAGAAGCAAACAAACAAAAAAAGTAAAAAAACCCTTCAACCATCACTAATGTGGCCCTCAACTGAGATCTCACTCCTCTGGCACTCCAGCCCCCTGGGGGAGATGGAGAGGGACAGAGAGACCTGAGGTTCAGGGCTTCCCAGAAGCCAGATTAATTCTTCTGGGGTTCAGGGGTTAGTGGATTTGTGGACATCCCTAGACTCTGGGGTGGGACCAAAAATGAAGTGTTCACTGTGCAGAACAGTACCGCCAGTAAGTGGAATAGGGAAGGGGGTGCAGGATCTGGGTGGGAAGTAAGGTGTGGGAGGGGGTGAGGTTTGGCCAGGAGGAGGGTACAGGAGTGGGCTGGGAGCAGGGTGTCTAGCCAGGGGGGAAGGGGTGCAGGAATAGGGTGCAAGTAGGGTGTCTGGCCAGGTGGGAGGGTACAGGAGTAGGCTGGGGATAAGGTATCTGGCCAGAGAGAGGAGGAGAGTGCAGGAGCAAGGGAAGGTGCAGGAGCAGGTCAGGGGTAGGGTGTCTGGCCATGGGGGGGAGATGGTGCAGAAGCACGGTGGGGTCTCAGCAGGAGGTGATGTGCGAGTGTGTTGGGGGTGCAAAGTCTGGGCTGAGGGAAGGGAGGCCCTGTTTCACTCCCAAGCACCATGTTCCAGGCACAGCCTCCCACTGCTTCCATTGGCCAGAATCCGGCCAATGGAAGCAGTGGGGAAAGCAGTGCTGTTCACAGAATCATAGAATTCTAGGGCTGGAAGAGAGCTCAGGAGGTCACTGAGTCAAGCCCCTTGCTCAAAGCAGGACCCGTCAGGAGAGAGGGAAGGGAAGTGGCCACGTGTGGAGCCACTTCTGGCCCCACTTCTTCCCCTTCTAGCCCCACTTCTTTCCGCACAAGCCAGTTCCAGCAGGGAGGTTTAGGGCTTTCTCCTCCCATCCCCCACAGTAAGCTAGCACTGGTGCTCCAATGTTGTGGAGGGGGTGGGGGGTCACGAGGTGGAATGCGAACAAGGGCTCCTGCTGCGGTGGGAACAGGGCCAGGGGGCTGAGTATGAGATGCAGACCACCTGCAAGGTGTCCGCAGACACCACTGACCTAGATGATGAGCTAAAGTGTAAGGTTTGACACACAATAATTTTATGTGATGTACTGGAGCAGGCTGACATAGGGACTTCCCTAAATTCATGCCTTTTTAAACTTAACAGGTACACCACAACATGGAAATACCTAAAATAATCAGTTAGGACAGAAATAACATGTGATATCTAACCACAAAAAGGGCAAGGTTACCAACTGACATACATGATAAGTTGAAATAATTGATATACTGACTTATAAGAAAAAGACACTTCAGCATTACTTGAGGTGAAAAAGTAAAAAGGAAAAAATCCCTTACTGAATATGCATCAAACATAACAGCGTCAGCATAACTTATCATAACAGTGGGATCTCAGCCTAGGAGCAGTAGGAGAAGGAGATGTAGTCCTTGGGAGATGCCAGAATGAAGGCTGCGGGTGATGATAGGGAACATGATGGTCAACACTTCAGGTTGTTCAATGGATGGTGGGAGTATATGGAAGTGCAGATGTACATTCTCTATCTTGTTAAGATGGGTTGTTTGTGATTGTACTGTGTGTATTAATAAACTATATTTGTAAATACACAAGAGTTCCTATAGTATGTGTTAAGGATGTTAAAAAACAAGTAATTTACTGGTTGAGAACTCATGGAATTTCCATCGACTAGTCAATAGGCACTTCTGGAGCTCTTGTACATTTCAAAGGAGGAATGCGGAACTCCAGGTGCAGCCCAGGACCAGTGGGAAGTCCCACTGACTCTAGGCTCCAGGAGGGTGCTTATAATTTGAAAAGCACAAGAGCCCACAAAGGCTCTTGTGCATTTCAAAGCGTAAGCACCCGCGTGCAGCCCAGAGTCAGCGGGGGCACTTGTGCACTTCAAAGTGGAAGCACCCTCATGGACCCTGAGGTCAGCAGGGAACTCTGAGTTCTCCGCTGACCCTGGGCACCATGCCACACGGCACTTCCCCAGAACCCGGGGTCAGCTGAGGACACTACAGTAAAATTAAATGATGGCCACATTTCCACCACCCTATACCAGAAACCTACCAACAGTTGTACTTACCTACATGCCTCTAGTTTCTATCCAAGACACATTACCCAATCAATTGTTTACAGCCAGGCCCTAAGATCCAACCAGATTTGCTCCAAACCCACAGACAGAGACAAACACCTACAGCATCTCTATCAGGCAGTCTTAAAACTTAAATACCTACTGGGGGAAGTGAAGAAACAGATTCACAGAGCCAAATGAGTACTCAGACAAGTAAATTAGCACCACTAGTCATCATCTATAGCCCCCAACTTACACCCTTCCAACACATCATTAACCATCTGCAACCTACCCTGGAAAATGATCCCTCATTCTCACAGGCTTTGGGGGAAAAGCCATCCTTGCCTACAGACAACCCCCTAATCTCAAATAAATTCTCTCCAGCAACACCTCAAACATACCAACCCAGGAACCCACCCCCCCTGCAATAAACTCTGTTGCCAACTCTTTCCACACATTATATTATCAACACCATCACAGGACCCAACTACATTAGCCACATATCAGAGGCTCATACAACTGCACATCCACAAATGTGATATATGCCATCAAGCGCCAGCAATGCCTCTCTGCCGTGTATATTGGCCAAATAGGACACTCTCTACGACAAAGGATTAATGGACACAAAGCAGATATTTGAAACAGTAACACACAGAAACCTGATGGGGAACATTTTAACTTGCACTCATTAATAGATTTAAAAGTGGCTAGCCTCTTACGAAACAATTTCAGGAACCAACCAGAGAGAGAAACTGCAGAATTGGCCTTCATGGGCAAATCTGACAAATTTAGCCAGGGATTCAACAAAGACATTTCTTGGATGGGCCGTTATATTCAACACCTAAATAGGAGCCTTTAGCTATGATCTTTGAAAAATCATAGATGACAGGGGAGATTCCAGAAGACTGGAAAATGGCAAATATTGTGCCCATCTATAAAAAGGGGAATAAGAAGAACCCAGGAAACTACAGACCGGTCAGTTTAACGTCTGTCCCAGGGAAGATAATGGAGCAGGTAATTAAGGAAATCATATGCAAACACTTGGAAGGTAATAAAGTGATAGGGAATAGCCAGCATGAGTTTGTGAAGAACAAGTCATGCCAAACTAATCTGATAGCTTTCTTTGATAGGATAACGAGCCTTGTGGATAAGGGAGAAGCGGTGGATGTCATATACCTAGACTTTAGTAAGGCATGTGATACGGTCTCGCATGATATTCTTATTGATAAACTAGGCAAATATAACTTAGATAGGGCCACGATAAGGTGGGTGCATAATTGGCTGGATAACCGTAGTCAGAGAGTCGTTGTTAACGGTGCTAAATCCTGCTGGAAAGGGATAACAAGTGGAGTTCCGCAAGGGTCTGTTTTGGGACCCGTACTGTTCAATATCTTCATCAATGATGTAGATATTGGGATAGAGAGTACGCTTATTAAGTTTGCAGATGATACCAAACTGGGTGGGGTTGCAACTTCTTTGGAGGATAGGGACATAATTCAAAATGACCTTAGCAAGTTAGAGAAATGGTCAGAGGTAAACAGGATGAAGATTAATAAAGAGAAATGCAAAGTGCTCCACTTAGGAAGGAACAGTCAGTTCCATACATACAAGATGGGAAGCGACTGTCTACGAAGGAGCATGGCGGAAAGGGATCTAGGGGTCATAGTGGACCACAAGTTGAATATGAGTCAACAGTGTGATGCTGTTGCAACAAAAGCAAATATGATTCTAGGTTGTATCAACAGGTGTGTTGTAAGCAAAACTCGCGAAGTCATTCTGCCGCTCTACTCTGCACTAGTTAGGCCTCAGCTGGAGTACTGTGTCCAGTTCTGGGCGCCACATTTCAAGAAAGATGTGGAGAAATTGGAAAGGGTACAGAGAAGAGCGACAAGAATGATTAAAGGTCTAGAGAACATGACCTATGAAGCCAGGCTTCATGAACTGGGCTTGTTTAGTTTGGAAAAAAGAAGATTAAGGGGGGACATGATAGCGGTTTTCAAATATCTAAAAGGGTGTCACAAGGAGCAAGGAGAAAATTTGTTCCTCTTGGTTTCTGAGGACAGGACAAGGAGTAATGGGCTTAAAGTGCAGCAGGGGCGGTTTAGATTGGACATTAGGAAAAAATTCCTAACTGTCAGGGTGGTCAAATATTGGAATAAATTGCCAAGGGCGGTGGTGGAATCTCCCTCTCTGGAGATATTTAAGAACAGGTTTAGATAGACATCTGTCAGGGATGGTGTAAACGGAGCTTGGTCCTGCCTTGAGGGCGGGGGGCTGGACTCGATGGCCTCTCAAGGTCCCTTCCAGTCCTATGATTCTATGATTCTATGACATCAAAAGCTAAGTATCAGGCACTTACCGCCCACTCTATTAGGGTATTTTAAAATGGCGACCGGCCACGAATATGCTAATCAAGTACGGGATACTTAAATCCAGCCCTTGATTTGCAACTTCAGTAAGTTTCATTTGCCTCCCTAGTTCGAACTAGGGGGCAAGTGTAGACATACCCTTAGCCTCATTTAGAATGAACACTTTAATTGACAGGTTTTTTCCCCTCTTCCCACTTTTTCTGTTTTATATTTGGGGACAGATATATGAGTATGGGCCAGCCCAGCACACCTCTGGTGGGGGAGGAGAGGCAGCACTTGGGGCTTCTCCAGGAGCTTGGGGTCTCAGCCAAGAGAGGGGGGCAGAAGGCCCACTGATTTCTGCTCTGCAGCCCCAAATTGCTGGTAGTAGGCCTTTTTTTAAATCAGACTTTACAAACACTTCACGGTTTTCTGACCTGACCAAGACAGGCATTTTGGATCTTAAATATTTTTAAAAGAAAGATATTGATTAATGAAAATAGGGCTTTCGTATCAAAATGTTTTCTCAGCCTGAATAACAGCATCATCCTGCATTGCAATGCTATGAAACACACTCTTAAGCTATTGAAGGACAGTTATTTTGTCCAGATTGTAACAATTTTAGATATAAACTACATAGCACCATTTCTTCGGACCCACAAAATACTTACCAAAACTAAAGCCAGTTCCACCAGATTTAATTTGATGTGATGCTTCAGCAGCTTGACTAGACTGTAATCTCCAGCAACAATGAGCAATGCCTCGAAATACCTGTTTAAAATAAAAAAAATATGAAATTTAACATGCCTACAATGCAAGGCTTCTTGGAGTCCTAAGAACTAATGGACTAGCTTATAACACATTAAAATGTAAATATTGACATACATTTGTCTTTCTAAACAAATACTGCATCAAATGTAATTATTTTTCAAGTTTTTTTAAAAAATGAAGGATGTTTTGGTTACTTTAGATCCCGATCCTGCAAAATATAGCACAAGGACAGACTGCTTGACAGCATAAAAGCCCAACATGGTGTCATGTGGATACTAAGGATGTTAAGAGGCAGGTAACTGGCTAGCCGTGTAATCAATACAATTTGTATCGACTACATGATTAGTTGATAAGGGAAGGTGCTCTGTCCCAGCTCGTGCCAGGTCCAGGAGCTACCCACACTGTGGCTTTGCAGTTTAAATGTAGTAGGAGCTGGATGGTCCAGGTCCAGCAGCCCCTGTCTGCAGGGGTCCCAGCTCCCTAATGGGACCCCCCCACCGACCAACAAGGCAGCAGCGTAGGTGGGGGATGTGGTACTGCTGAGACGGTGCTGGGGGGAACCGTCTTTTAAGCCAGCTCCCCCCTCCCACTATTGCTGCATTTGATAGAGGCAGCAAGTGGGGAGGAATGCAAATAGTCGACTTGACTACCTGATAAACCTAGGCTTATGGGGTAGTTGACTACTCAGCTAGTTGCTTACATCCCTAACGCGTACTGCAGTCCTGCTATGAGTTACCTGTTGCAGCACTGAGACTTTGAAAACGAAAAAAAAAAAAGCACTGATATTTTTTCTCCCCTTTTAAATTGAGGTTGTAAAAGGTTAATGCCAATTTAATATTCTGCCTAGAAATCAGCATTTACCAGAATATCTTGTTTGAAAAATGAGAATTTCATGGAGCATACATTATTTTCTGATTGCTTTTTTTGTAATGAACTACTGCCTCAGATGACTTGTGATCCACAGTCACTTTGCTCCAGAAATTTGAGGCTAATAGGGAGGCAGCAGCCCATGGGGACAGGTGGCTCTATGATGAAGAGGCAGCAGTGTGGAGGGTGATAGGATCAGGAGGGAACTGGTACACATGAGAGGCTGGCTTTAAAGCTCTGCGAGAACTAGCATGCATGGGGTGCCAGCTTAAAAGTCAGCACCAGCTCCCCCTCCACCCTACTTGTTGCTGCCTCTGATATTTTACAAGTGGCATGCATATAGTTGTTTGGGTTAATCAATAAGCACAGGCTTACTGGTTAATCCTTTAAATGGCTATATGCTAACATTCCTACCACACACACAATTCAAAGAACAGAGCTAAGAAGGCCTCTTTCTTGTGTTAATTGTGTTGAAGTTGTGTTTCTTCTAACCTGCTTGCTAAGAGTTAAAATCACGGGGAGCTGAAATCACTTGAGACAGATGGGCAGAAGTCACAGCCAAGAAGGGGATGGCAGTGGATGGCGACTAAGAGCCAGCAGGGCAGTTGTGGGAGAGATGTGATGAATAGTCAACAGGGTGGCACTGGAATGATGCAACCAGCAACTAACAGAGCAGCAGAAACATGACAAATGTCAAGCAGGATGGCAGCAGAGAGGTATGAGGAGCAGCGGCAGAGAGTAGAAAGCAGGTAGATGGCAAATGACCAGCAGAGTAAGAAAGATACCTCTTTACTCCTCCCACTCAGGAAGGGAGGTGAACTCTGTAATGGCTCTTGACAAGGGCAGCAACTGTGAGTGGGGTGCAGAGAATACTTGAGAGCTCCAGAATTAATCAGCAGAGGAGCCAAAATTGACCTCCCCTGGTCTGGCAAACTCCCGTTTGGGGCCGGTCATGTCCCCAGTGTGCCGGATTAGGGTGGTCCAACCTGTAGTGAGCTGGTGTGTACTAGTCCTTTTGAAAGCAGAGCATCTGGGAGTTCTGTGAATGTTCAGTGGATAAGGGGCTCGGCACGCTAGAAGGATATGCAGCAGACTCAGGGTTGCATGTGAAGGGAATACTTAGATTGCTGAACATAAGAAAAGAAGAGGAAAAAGACCTCTATTTGGGGCAGGACTTTTACTTATGTTTTTGTTTATGAACTCTGTTTGTGGTGTTTTCCCAAATTAATGCCAAGTTACTTACCTCCCTCTTATTAAAAGTTTATTTTCTATGCTCAGAACCTGTGTTTGCAAGTGGGGAAGCACTGCTTCTCAGAGGCAATTGGGGTGGAGTGTGAATTTCCCAGGTTACTCAGGTTAATTCTGGGGGTTCAAGCTAGTTGTATTTTGGATGGATGGAGAGGAACCCCTGGATCAGGGGTCTCAAACTCCCAGTTCCGGGGTTATGTACAGCCCAAGCACTTCCCCAATCCCATTTGCAAAATAGTTTGAAAAAAGTTATTTAATGAGCCCTGCATAGCTCACGGCCCAGTGGTGGGAGGATGGGTGGGCGAACAGGGGGTGAACTCACCCAGCAGCACCTCATTTTTGTGCAATTCCCCTTTTTGAAATTAAATGCCAGGGTTCTGGACTGCTGAGGTGTTCTTCCCACCACAGGAATGTTAAATGTTGTTATATTATGGTCACAATTCCCAAGCGGTCCTGTAACGGTTATCTCCTGGACCTGATCCTGCGCTCCACTCAGGACTAAATCGAGAATTGCCTCTCCCCTTGTGGGTTCCTGCACCAGCTGCTCTAAGGAGCAGTCATTGAGAAATTTTCTCTCTGCTTCTCTTCCTGAGGTGACATGTGTCCAGTCAATACGGGGATAATTAAAATCCCCCATTATTATAGAGTTCTTTATTTTGGTAGCCTCTCTAATCTCCCTCAGCATTTCAATGTCAGTATCACCATCCTGGTCAGGTGGTCGGTAATATAATCCCTACTGCTAATTTCTTATTAGTGGAGCATGGAATTACTATCCATAGCAATTCTATGAAACATGTTGACTCATTTAATATTTTTATTTCATTTGATTCTACATTATCTTTCACATACAGTGCCACCCCACCACTCACCCGGCCTGCTCTATCCTTTCGATATATTTTATATCCTGGTATGATTGTGTCCCACAGATTTTCCTCATTCCACCAGGATTCAGTGATGCCTATTATGTCAATCTCCTCCTTTAATACAAGGTACTCTACTTCACCCATCTTATTAGCCAGACTCCTAGCATTTGTGTAGAAGCACTTTAAAAATTTGCCACTGCTTATTTGTCTGCCCTTCCCTGATGCATTGGATTCCTTTATATGCGGTTGTATGTCTGCTCTGGCCCATGGTTTGTCCTCTCCCCTCCTCTCTTTCTGACTATAGCACAGAGATGCCCTTCCTCCCCAGAGCCCTGCCAGAGGGGCTAGCTGCTGGCCCACCAAAAGCATTTGAGGATTGGCACTGGCCCCAAGGTAAAATTGAGTTTGAGACCCCTTTCCTAGATATTGAGCCTGGCACTAGCTGCTGATGATTCCACCTGGCGGAGGGGTTAGAGGTATATTTAAGGATATACTTCCTTGTAATATATTTTCAAAAATGCAAAGCTTTGTTCTCTTATTAACGATCACTTCTGTTTAGCCTGAAGCAAAAGCTATGTTAATTTATTATTTTTCCTTCCAGGTATTTAGTCTCTTGGATCCTACTAGCATTTCTCAAACTAGAAGAAGAGTCCCAAGTTTGTGTAACACATATGGATAAATACCAAGCAAAAGACAGCAACAGGATTTTGGAAGGTTAGCACCTGAATTGTTCAAATATTAATCTGTCCAGGAAGACTGACGCACGCACAAACAGAAAAGGGAAGTAACTCTTTGGGGTTAGCATTTCTTTCATCTCTAATGCCCTCCTTCATGAGGCTTAGCTTTAGAAAGCACTAAAAGCTATACTTCAGAGAAGAGCAAAAGGCCAGCTGAGTGAAGTTTTCTTGCAGGATTTAGAGCCAAGTATAGAGGGAGAAAAGAATGGCTTGGTTAAACAGCAGTGTAAATTCTATTTGGATGGCACATACATACAAGTCCCCAACATAAGCTCCAGCTCTGTCCTCCTCCTCCTCACAACTCAGGGATGATTCAGTGGGCCCCAGCATCTTCCATGTCTATGTTCCCCTCCACAGTTTGGGTATGTCTAGACTACATGGCTCCGTCAACGGAGCCATGTAGATGAGTTTACTAGACATAGCAAAATGAAGCAGAGATTTAAATAATCGCCGCTTCATTTACATAAAAATGGCTGCCACACTGTGCCAACGATCAGCTGATCGGCACAGTGGGGCAGTCTAGATTCTCCACGGTCAACAAGGGAAGCCTTTGTCGACTGCTCCGGTATGCCTCGTGAAACCCAACCCTAACCCTAACCCATCAATGGAGCCATGTAGTCTAGACATACTCTTTGTGCCCTATATCCAGAGGTGAAAGTAAGTGGATGCGTCCTGGTGCACAATTCCAGCAATAGCTGGCTAAACTGTAGCAAGAGCTGATAGGGCACCAGGAACTATCTATAAGACAGGGGTGGGGAACTTCTGGCCCATGGGCAGTAGGCAGCCTGCTAAACAATTTAATCTGGCCCTTGGGGGGTCCTGCAGCTGTAAAATGCTGAGGGGGCTCCCTGGGGCCACTTTAAAAACTTCCTCCAGCCTCCCCTGCAGCACAGCCAGATACTTCAGGTTCCTCTTGTGCATGTGGGAGAGGCATGAGCAGGAGATCTGGTGGGAGAAGCGTCACATGCTGGGTGGCAGTGAAAAAGAGGCTGGAGCTGCTTCCCAGGCTCAGGGGGCTGCAGAGGCTGCCAGCAAAATTCCTTTTGCTGTGAGCAAACATGTGGAACCAGAGGTCTGTTCCCAGAGTGGGAGGGAAGGGAAGCCTGAGCCCCTTCCCTGCATGGGGCACCTTTCGGGAAGAAGGGGAGGCCACAGGGGGACCAGCTTCTCCCCCCACTTACCTGAATAGGCTGGTCGGCTGGTCTCTGGCAGACTTTGTAGCATGGAGACTCTAATTGACTATTTCTTTCCCTTTTTTCCCCCCTCTTTTCTCCTCTGCCATCCCCTATTTATTTCAAAACTGGAA